TGCCAAGGCGATCGAGAATTCATGGCTGAAATGGAAATGTTGGGGAAGATAAAGCATAAGAATCTTGTGCCATTGTTGGGATACTACATGATTGGAGAGGAAAGGCTGCTCGTGTATGAGTTCATAGAGTATGTCAATCTCGAAGAAATGCTCCACGGAAGAGCAAAGGCGAGAGACCGGCGGATACTAACATGGGAGGAACGGAAAAAGATTGCCCGAGGAGCAGCTAAATGACTCTGTTTTCTCCACCACAATTACATCCCTCATATCATACATAGAGACATGAAGTCAAGTAATGTGTTATTAGACCATGAAGTGGAAGCCAGGGTCTCAGATTTCGGCATGGCAAGGCTCATAAGTGCTCTTGACACTCACTTAAGCGTGAACACACTTGTAGGCACACCCGGTTATGTCCCTCCGGAATACTACCAAAGCTTCCTATGCATGGCAAAGGGCGATGTCTATTCCCTTGGAGTTGTACTCCTGGAACTCTTGACTGGAAAGCGCCCCACTGATAAAGAGGATTTCGGGGACACCAACTTGGTTGGATGGGTAAAACTGAAGGTGAGGGAACAAAAACACATGGAAGCGATAGACCCGGAAATATTGTTGGCAGCAGAAGAAACCGACGAAGCAGAAGCAGAAGCAGAAGAAGTTAAAGAGATGATGACGTACTTGGAGATAACATTGCAATGCATCGACGACTTCCCTTCGAAAAGGCCTAACATGTTGCAGGTGGTGGCATTGCTAAGAGAGCTGATGCCTGGATCAGCCAACGGAAGCAGTAACTGTAGTACCCCAAATTTTGACTAGTGACTAAAATGTAAGTTTTGAAAGTTTGATGGATAAATTATAAACTTTGTAAAAGTTTAGGTACCAAAAATATAATTTTAAAAAGCAATAGATTTTAGCCCCTAAATGAATAGTTTAGCCTAAAACAAGGATTTTTGTAGGGAATCAGATTTTTAGTACGAGATTTGTGTTAAAAGCTATAAAGAGATAAAGTTCAGTATTAAAATTGGATAATCGAATCGAATTAAAATTTTATAAAAATGTGAAGGATGTTAGAAAATGGTTGGAAATATTATATCCATATTTTATATAAAAGAAATTTGGCTCAGAATAGTGTAATCTTTCAGATTTGGTCGAACAGTAGAATTTTAGTGACTAAAGTGCAATTTTCAAAAATTACATGACCAAAGTGAAAAGTAAAAGTAAAGTTAATTCATCTTTGACTAAGGAATATTTTAATGGAAGATAATGAAATGACATTTAGTAATTATCAAATTTCATTAATGGTATTTTTGGGATTTCTCATTAATTAAATTTTAAATTCAATTATATTATTAAAGTGCCATGTGTCAAGGTTAATAAAATATTAGATTAAAAAAGAAAATTAGCAAAAAATCAGCTCATTCTTCAAGCTTGGCCGAAACAACCATTTCTCCAAGGGAAACATTTTATTTTTGATTTTTAAGCTTACATGATTGATTTTTGGACTAAGTTATGAATTAAAGAATTAATCAACATGAAATTCTTCATCATTTGGTATCAATATTTCATAGTGAAGATGCTTATATGTTGAGGTTGAAGGTTAGGGTTTATGTAGGGTTTTTGGAGTTCGAAGAATTAATGAAAGATTATTATGTTTTTTATGTTGAAGATTAATTTTCAAGCATGTATGATGTTTAAAATCAAGTGTAGAATGATTTAAAGCATTTGGCCTAATTAGGGTTTTGGTGATTGATTGGATTTTGGTTCAATTTGATGTTGTGTTGATTAGAATAACATGAATTTGAAGTAAGGAAGTTGAATTCAGGCTTGAAATTGAATGAAAAGCTAGTCTTATGATCATAGTGACATGCAACCATTTGGGAAAATTTAGGGGAAAATATTGATTTTTTTTATGGTCTAGAATTGATATTAGAACTGTTATATGTGACTTAGAGATCAATTTGGAGCCTTGAGTTAGTAAAAGGGTTAATATACAAGTTTTGAGAATTGTGGGATATTATTGCAAGAATGTAATATTTGAAGGGTTAATGCTGGAAATTTAAGTTGGAAAGTTGTTTGGAACCAAATTTCAAATTTGGTAAAATTTGAGGGTGGAATTTGAAAAGTCTCAAAATTATGGGGACTTGATTTTAAGTTTATTAAATGTGGAAGTATCATTTGAGTAAATTATTGTAATTCTGGAAATTTATTTAATAGGTTGATTTTTGGGTTTAATTCTTAAGTTGATATTTAATTCTAGGTTTATCAGTTGTGTGGTTGAATTTGAAAAGTCTAAGAAAGTTTAGGATGAAATTGCAAGCTTTTGAATGTTTAAGTGTTGATTTGAATATTTTATTGAGGTGCTGAAAATTTTATGAGATTAACATAAAATGGTCATAATGGTGAATGGTCATTATGGATTAAATAGGAAAGTTGATACGAATTCTAAAAAGAATCTATAATTAGTGGTTGGATTATGAAATCAATAAAAGTTGAAGAGTTGATAGTGAAACGAAATATTCATTGAATTTAAGGAATGTTTTGAGAAGTTTGATATTACGATGGAAGTACGATTTAGTTTTATATCAATTTAAGTATCAGATTTATTTTTATCGAAATTTTATATTTAAATTTAGATTATGTTAGTTCGATACTAACGAATAGTTTGAATATTCTATGTTATTATATGACGTCGTCAGTTCACGGTAAATTTAGTGATTCAAGTAGCTTGAAAGGGAATGAAAAAGTGTCAGATTGAGAAGATTATCGCGGAGAAGATTTGATAGCAAGGCAAATGTGAGTGCATTTCATTTGTATATATGTTTCGACCAAGCATTGACTTGCGATTAGCCAGTGTCGAAATTACGTTAAGAGGTGACTCCTAGTATTATGTGAAGTGTGATTCAAGTTGATATGTTTATTTAGTAAGCTAATAAAACTAGTGAATAAGTCAATGACACTAGTTGGTAAAATCTGCCTAGAAATTATGTTTTGAACAGTAAATTTAAAAAATCATCAAAAAATCTACAAAAATTATTAGAGGATGAATCTTATACCATTGAATTTGTCTATTAGTTTAAAATAAACGATAACTTATTTCGAGAAGTATATAAAAGATATGAACTTTTAATTAGTGATATGTCAGAAAATAGGACAACAGATTTTGTCCAAAACAGCTTCTGACAATCAACTTTAAAAATCCGCTATAGATTGTACAAGTGGAATTAGATGGAGTGCCTTATATAGTTAGATTCATATTTGAGTATAGTTTTCAGTGGTGCAAACAGAATAATTTTTCAATATAAATATTAATACAGAATAATATTTCTTTGAAGGTTGTACAAACTGCTAGAATATGAAATTTCAATAAATTGTGTAGTGGAATCAAATTTTTAATGCTTAGTGAGGCTTATATTTGATTTATAAGTAAATAGTTCAAATGATTCTAGTTTATTTATTTAAGTACTCTGATCGATGACGACTTGCGATAAGTCAACTTCATTTTATTTTCCAGTATGCTTTATAAATTTTTAGTATGAAATATTTATATAATATTTTACTTTTCATCAAGTTTTATGAATGATTTTATGTATGAATTGTCCAAATATGATATTTATGATGATGAATTCTAAATATTTACAATTTTCATATGATTTTAAGTTATCAAATATTTACAGTTATCAGATGATTTTTATTTATCAGATGTTTACAGTTATAAGATGTTTTACAATTATTAAACGTAGATGAATAAATGATTTTATGATGATAAATATAAGCTCATTGTATGTTGCATTGAGAGTCATAGGTACATTTGACATATCATTAAGTGAATGTTTATCAGCTATCAGTTCAGTTTTGGTACATTCGTGTACCAATGTTCAGCACCGTTGGTGCTCAGGTTATGATTGTATTGAAGTGCATCATATCGCAGTTTCAGTTATGATTCGGCGCCATGTTGTGCCTAGTGCGCACCTTATACTCATATACCTTGTAATCTCTTACATATACATTTGACTATAACAGTAAGTGTGGAAGTTATGATAGTATATAAAAGAAAAAACATATAATTGAAAAGAAAGTTATGAAATATGTTGGAATGAAAAGAACAAAAGTTATTTATTATATTTAATGATGACTTACATGATTTTTGATAAAATCGTGAGATGATGATTTTCAGAAAGAAAGCATTCTGAATAGTCCGGTTTGAAGTTTTAATTGTTTTTTATTTAAATTTTCAATTTATTGTTTATATTTTTATGTATTTTATGTTTTAGCTATATTTCAGACTCACTAAGTTTAACTTAGCATGTGATGATTTTCATACGTAGGTTCGAATAAAGTAGTGGACATGAATTGAGGAGTTTGCCAGCATTTTATGGAAAATCAAACCTACCGACAGTATCAGTAAGACATCCTAACTTTGACTTATTAGTGACACATACATTATATATGTTGGGTTGTTTTATCAGATTTATTTTAAAAGGGTTTGTAATAGTAATTATGGATTATTTTATTTAGTTTTGTCTAATTTTAGTATTAATCTTATTTATGAGTGAATAATGTAAATGTTATATTTTAAATGGTTTAAAATCAAGAGGTATTAGGCAGTTGTATTTGAATATAAAACAACACTGAACTGTTAGTTCGGATTAGTTTCAATGATAAACAATATTTTATAAATTTATATGATTAAGAAAAAAAACTTTTTAAAGATAAAAAATTATTAAATAAAACAAAATTTTTAAGTATTTAAGTTCAGTCAGTTGAATTGATATGACATATTTAACTCTTATTACGAGATATATTGAGATGATGTAATATCTTTATCTCGTATTACGAGATATACACGGGCTAAAGGTGTTTCAAGTTTTGAGCACGACAAGTATCTATGACAAATAAAACATATGATCAACATTCGAATTCGAATCCGCATTTATAGTAAAAAATAATACATTTTTCTCTTGAAAAGAGCCAAAGATGTATAAAACAACTTAACAGAAACCTACAAAGACAAATCTGTCACATGGAAATTGATTACATACAATCCATATATTAATAAACACAAGATTTTGTAGATCTCCCATTAGGCATGATCAAAGCATGCCTCGTTTGCTACCTAACAACAATTATGGCACTCTTCCACTTAATTTTATAACCAAAATCATAGAATTTTTCCATGGCAACAGGCTAGGAATCCCGCTACTCGCACTTGATAGACCTGTATATGTGGCGGACGAAGAGAAGTGATGCGCGGAAACCAACAGTCCCGAGCATGAGGAAGAATCCATAGCAGATGCAGGCCATGTAACCAAAGAAGAACGACGTTTGCATAAAACCAGACATATCGGATCGTGCATGGTAGTAATACAAGCAGTAGGCATAGATAAAGATGCCAGTTGATCCACCACATAGGAAAGACCTGTTACGAATTAAGTACCCGATATGAGACGATATTTCAAAATTGCAATGTGAAAAGCAATTGGGAGACGAATGCAGAGATAGAGAGTTTATGTACCTCCACCACCATTCATGATCTTCAGCAGCAAGTTGGAAATATGTCAAAGCAACAGTAATAAAAGCAGTGACGATCAGAAGGATTATGAAGACGATAAACAAGATGCTGTATATGGTATAAATCCTGTGGCCCCAGACACTCGCAAATATGTAGTAAAGCTCGATGTAGATAGCACTAAATGGAAGAAATCCAGCCATTGCCATCTGAGGAATGGCACTCCTGTACCAAGGCAGTGGGGGAATCTCTCGAGGATATTTAGTGGTGCGGCAAGGAGCTTGGAACTCAGCCTTGCTATTTTTGCCAGCGATACCACCCAGAACAAGCAACGGAGATGTCACAAGTGTCCATATGAGGACAATTACTACGATAGTTCCAAAAGGTAGTGCGGCAGTTGCACTGTAAGCAATAGCAACTGTGTTAAGGAAGCAGAACGTAAGAAACAAGGGTCCGCAGAAAAGGCAGCCAGTCAATAACAGATTCCTAACCTGTTTATCAGAGAAATGTCAAATAAATTAGTCCACTTAGAGACCTAAAGCTTAGAAGCACCACATTAACATTTCATACTAAAAGACCGTCTAGACATACCCAGTTCGTCCCTTCAAGCTGACAGTAGAAAGAAGTTGCTACATAACCCGCAATCCCTGACGTGAGCGCATATATGACCACCAGGGCAGTAAACAGAGCTCCCCGGTTGTACGGATAAAAGACACCAACCAATGCCAGCATAAAAATGAAGATTGTTCTGATAGACATGCAAAGGTTCAAAGAAATTAGAGCAAGGGACACCAATAATTGACATATAGATCAGAATGTATTAAATGTTACTTCACAAATCTAAATGAAACATAAACACAAAACAGCAAGTAGGATCCTTACAAAGTGAAAAGCTGAGTTCCAGATCCAAGAGCAGCAGCAAACAGGGATTTGTACTTTGGGAAACGGAACACGTCTCCATGAATATACTTCCATCCAGTCTCTTCTTGGTCATCGGCTGCTTCTTCATCTTGACCATACCTTTCATGGCAAATCAAATATTTATAGCAACCAACAACAACAATGAAAGACAAAAAAATTATATATATATATATATAAGATATAATGGATCTCACTTAATGAAATCATTCTTCAAGACCCGCATGAGAATTGTTGCAAGGAAACCGGTCAAAAGTAGAACTGTCACACAAGAGTTAATAATCGAGAACCAATGTATCTCCAGATGATGCGGCAGAGAAGAGGACATGGAGTACTTGTCCATCCTCTTCTCAAAGGGAATATCGGTTTCCTTCCATTTCACAGTGTACATAAACTCAGCATCAACTTCCTTATCCTCGGTCAAGTCCACGAGCGAATGCGGATCCATCCATGTGCTGATCTCGATAACGCGATCCTTGTTATAAAGCACATCAAACTGGATATGCTTGTAAAGGTAATACTTGTACTCGCTGGGATCGGTTTTCCCTTCCTTATCAACTTTGCCTATAAAACCCCAAATTGGCAAATCATCATAGTACATTTGGAAATAATAATCTTTCTCGACCGCCTTTCGGAAAAACACGACCTCATCCTTGGAAAGCTTCTTCTTACAAACAACAGATGAATCCTTTTCCTCTCTAAAATTCAGTTTATAAGGAGCACTCACGAGCCGGTCTCCGTTCAATACCTCACCTAATGCTTCTTTCTTCTCCTTTACATGGTCTGAATTACATTAAAAACAACAACAACCCCATCTTATTAAGAATCTATATTAAATTGTTTAAGATCTAATTGGGAAAAAAACGAACCCGGAGAACAAAAAGGCAGATCAAAGTAACGATAGGTTTCACTGCAATCAAACAAACAAAACCAAAACATGTCAAATTTAAGAACAAACCCAATGCATAAAATGAAAAAAACAAAACAAAACAAAATGCTGAAAGTAACGAGATTCTTGCTCTAAATGTTCGAAACGTGAGTGCTGTTAAATGGGAATGAAGGTATCGAGTCAGAAAGGTAGTAACTCTCAGAACCAGTGAAGAAGAGAGGGAAATGAAAGGGTTAATTACCTGGGATTGTGGAAAGGGCCGACCTTGTTGGCGTATAGAGGGACGGGATCACCTTCCTTGTAACGGTGGTCGGAGGCGTCGGATCTAACATGGGAAAGACAGGAGAGGAACAAAACACCGAGGATTAAACCCGCCGGAAAATTGGCGCCGATGTTTTCCATATTGGGTCTGGATAAGGAGATGATCGGTAAGAGGCGTGAAGGGAAATGGTGAAAATTGACATGTATATATATATATATATATGAACGGAGAGCATGAAGACAGAACTGGGTGGATACGTCGGCAAATAATCACGTGCCGCAACTTTAATATACCACTAACAAAAAAGTATTATTAATATTGTTGTTATTTAAATAATAGAATTGATAAAAAATTATCAAAAATATTATTATTTTTATTGATTTTATTATTATTAGACGTTTTATCGATTTTGTTAACAAAATTAATAGTATTATCAATTTTGTTATTATTAGCTACTTTATTAGAAATATTAAAAAATATTGATGTTTTAAATAAAAATAATAATGTTTTAATTATTGTTTATCGGTGTCGTACTGTAGAATTTCCTAGATACATCACATATTATATATGGAGAAAAATAGCATTTCCATTTTTTTTTTAAATTATCTTATTTTATATATTTAAATTGGGTAAAGTACACAAAATGGTCTTTTGGTTATAAGGTATTGTTTAGTTGAGTCCATCGATTATTAAAAGTTACAAAATTGTCCTCCAACTTTATAACATTACTTTATTGAGTTCATCGGCTATTAAAAGTTATAAAATGATCATCCGACTTTTCATATATTGCAAACTCGTCCTTTTTCTCTAAAAGGTTAACGTTAATCTGAACTGGACGTTAACATGATGACTGTGATATGATAGTCGTTTGAGATTATAAGACTAAATTTTATCATATCTCAGTCAGTAGGTTAACGTCCAGTTTAGCCTACCGTCAATTTTTTTTAACAAAAAATAATGAGTTTAGAACATATGAATAATAAGGGACTCAACAAAGTAATGCCCTATATTCGTGGACCATTAATATTCTTTACCTCCAAAATTTAATGACAATATTGAATTCGTAAAAAAATTTAGATTTGAGTTATAAATTATAAGTTCTCAGTATAAATTATTTTCTAGTTTAAATTTAGTTTTGTTCAAAATATATTAATCCATTGATACATTACAATGATTAGGATAATTATTTAAATACATGCTTAGAGACACAATCAAGATGAAAGGTTAAAAGAATTAAGAGTTAATTGCATCACACGTCCTTCAATTATGATATTTATTCTAAATTAGTCCTTAAACTTGTAAATATACCAATTTTATCCCTAAAATATGACTATCATTCTAAATTTATCCTGAAACTTTTGAATATTTCATTTTCATCCTCAAACTATGATCTTCATTCTAAATTGGTCCCCAAACTTTTTGAACATTTTAGTTTTATCCCAAACTAATATAATAGTTAGGCCAAATTATATTATTATATGTTTAAAAAAAATAAAATTTAGGTTAAACTATGATTGGTAGTGATTACATATTTGGATGAACTTGAGGATGAAATTGGAAAATTCAAAAGCTTAGAGACCAATTTAGAATGAGAATCATAGTTTAAGGATGGAATTAGAATGTTCAATAGTTTAAGGACTAATTTAGGATGAAATTGGAATTTTAAAAAGTTTAAAGACCAATTTAAAATGAGGGTTATAGTTTAGGGGCATATCATGCAGTTGATCAAGAACTACAAATAAAATCATAATAAACACAAAGGTAAGATCCAATTGTTAAATCAAAGATTTAAGAATTGAGGATTGGAATATAATTTAATTAATTTTAAAATTGATATTGATCGAAGAAATATTTATACAAAAATAATGAGGATATTACTCATTTGATCCGACATGAACATTTTCTTCAAGCCTCGTAAAACATCCCGACCTCCAGACGCTGCGGCAGCGGCACCCCGAGAGAAGGCAGTGCAGAGCTGCAGTTATTGTGCAACACTTCGTAGAAGGCAGGCATTAATCTGTCGAACAAGCCAGTTTTCTTCCCGACGTAAAACCTCGCTTTTCCTCGAACGTGAATTACGCCGGCAGCTTTCGCCTCTCCGAGTTCCGAGATCTCGTCTTGACCCTATGTAAGGTCGGAAGATAAACGACCGGATCTGTTTCCGATATGCACTCGCAAGCTGTCCATAACTTGACTAACGAAGTCGTCTCCTTCGAGGTTCAGTGAGTCCGCTTTGTATGTTTGAGTAAAAGAAACACAATCCGGGAACCTTCTGCACGGTCGGGTCCTAGAATAGTGCTCCGAGTCTTCCCATGTCGATCTTGTGAGTTAGTTCATACTGCATCTTCCTCTGTCTCCCGTAGTACCAACCGAACATAATGAAGGCGAGAATGAAGGATATGGCAAACGGTATCCATCCACCTTCGAGAATTTTGGTCAATACCGCACTCACGTAGACACCTTCCATCGTATAAAGGACGATGAAGTACATTGCAACCAGTACCGGTGGTGTTCTCCATATGATGACCATGAACAGTGTCGACAATATAGTTGTGAACCTAAAGCATTGCCGATAACTTGTCCATCTCCAAATACGAGTATAACCGCAACACAAAGAATCACAAGGATGTAATTGACTTCCGGAGAGTAGACCTCTCCCTCTTTGTTGGAAGACGTGTGCACGACTTTGACCCGAGGAAAGTAATCCAGTACGATGGATTGCTTGATGACAGAGAAGGTGGCAGATACAAGTGACTGGCTTGCCACGACTGCAGCCGATGAGGCTATGATAAAGATTGGCCCGTAAATTGTTTTCGGTACAAACTTGTAAAATCCATCAATATGATCATTGGGGTTCTTAATCGAATACGCTGCTTGTCCGGCATATGTCAGAACCAACGACGGGTATATTGTAAATAAGAAAGCTATCTGTTGGGAAGGAGGGAGAAACCATTTTCAGCCGTGTTAAAGGAAATCTAAGAGGTGCCAAAAGTTATTATACACATAATTTACCTGAATGGAACTTCGGTTAAAATGACCCAAATCTGCAAACAACTCTTCAAATCTGCAAACAACGCTTCGGAACCTATATAATATTTTAAAACGGATACAAGGGTATTGAAATCGGTTTTAATTGGGACAAATGTTTGCCATGCTCGAAAATCGGGTAAGTCTCTTGCAAATAAACAAACGTGGTAGACACAATTACCTGTGATGCAGAGGATGGTACCACCAAGCATCAACCAGCCTTCTTTTCCGTTTCTCCAAAAGAAATGGACAATGTAATGTGGTGATAAAGCCTTGACTATGCCGGGGTAATGATGTATAATACTATAAACTCCAACAGAACAAAAAGAAAACTATTAAACGAAAAGAACAAAAAGAAAACTATGCCGGGGAAAACAGAAAACTCACTCGAGATGTTCCGAATTTCTGCAGCAGGAACAGAACAAAAAGAATCACTGCAGAAAGCGTTTCAACTAATCCTGCACAAACAAGCAACTAGTAAACCTCATGGAGAATGAATGCTCACATATAAATTAATACGAAAAACATGAAACTGTTGATTAAACGCTTTAGTACAGAAATAATTTATTCGAATATAGAACACATTAACACTCCAATTTGAGAGCTCGGATGCTTACACTTGGTGACAGAAGGAAATGGTGCTCTTAGTCCATCCATTGCTGACAAGACTGTCAAAATATGTGCAGGTCATGTGAAATTTGAAAAAATACTCAACTTAGATACAACAAAGAAAAGAGGAATAAAGGAATAAATCCGGAAAAAAACCTGAGATTGCAGGAGTAAGAATACCATCACCGATTAGCATACATGTACCTAACATAGCAATGAAAAGCAACACCCTTCTGGCAACCATACTTCTTTCGTTGCAAGTCTAGATTTCTGGTTGTCGTCCTCATTAAGTACAAAACGTGATCGACTCAAGTTTAAATCAGAACGTGTTGAAGAAAGGATTCCGATATTCATATTTCTAGAGAGTAAAGAATAAAAGGCAAAAGTCCCACCTGCACCCAATCAGCTTTTGGCTAGATGAAGAATATTCATGTGCAGTAGTGGTTAATAGAAATGCAAAATTTTAAGCTCCCTTCAACGGAAAGTTGAATAATATCATACGAAAACTAGAATTCGATTAAACCCACCAAACTATACAATGCTGTAAAGGAATCATATAAACAGGATTCCAAACCCAACTGTTATCAAGGCAACCATGAGCACTCAAAACCGGGCAAGCGAGACAAGAACATCAAATTTGAAGGACTGATCTTCGGAAAAGGAATCACCCAGAAACAAACCATGGATATGACATACCTTCACCATGATCATCTGCCATAAGAGCTATAGAGGAACACTTGACAACCACAATGAGAGTAAGAGTCCAAAACATAATGCTATAAATCCCCAAGTAGTCTTCTTCAGTTGGAGAATTCAAATGCATGGATGGATATACATACAATGGGGATGTCACAAGCCCTCCAAATACAACTCCTAACTTCCTAAGTCTTGTATGCAAGTAACAGATGGCTCCATTTACTACTCCCCTGATTTTTTCAAGAAAAATCAGGTCAACGTACACACAAATTTGATTTCAAAACCCATTGAATTTCTAAACCCAAAGATTAAATCCATTAAATTTCTAAACCCAGAGATTGAATCCATGACAAAAACGTGTAAAAGACATGACATGAGAAGTGGGTGCAAGAGAAAACCACCTTGTTGTTGGAAGAGTGAAGCACTAGTGTGTCGATGGTGGTGTGGTGAGGGAACTGAAGTGGTACCAAGTAATGACTGTTGTCGGAAGAAGAAGCAATAACAAGTCCAGGTAGAGCGACGACCGCCGCTGACTGTCTATCCATTGCGGTGTGCAAATACAACGCAGTTTTGGCGGGTTTGATGTGTATCGGAATTCATGGGCCATCAAACAGGGAAATATATAGAGGATCCAGGACACCGCCTATGGCCCAGTGGCAGGGATGGATTCGTGGACTTACCTCGTTAACACCTTTATCATCGGTGATAATTAAATTTGTTAAAGTTTTTAAAAATTATAAAAGTATTACTATTATGTAATGATCAAAACACAATTAACTATTTGAAAATAAATTTCATACATTTTAATGTGCTCGAACTTGGGACCTATAACTAATATTTTAGTATGATGCTTTTAAT